TTCCTTCCTTCCTTCCTTCCTTCCTTCCTTCCTTCCTTCCTTCCTTCCTTCCTTCCTTCCTTCCTTCCTTCCTTTTCAGTAAGCTCCATGCCCAGCATGGCACCCAGTGCAGGGAGAGCTTGGACTCATGACCCTGAGATCAAGACCTGAGCTAATATGAGGAGCTGGATGCTTAACAAACTGAGCCACCCAGGCACCACCACCATGAGGATTTCTAAATGTTTACTCTTTCTGACAAATCTGCAGTATTGTTCTCCTTTCTCTTACTCTCTTTTTCTGGCTCTTTTCTCTATTGTACTGCTCTTTATTCCTCAAATCACCACATCCTGACCTTTACTTATTTATTTAAAAAAGTTGAGTTCCTCTATGTGCATTTACTATATTAGACACTGGAGAATGGGTTTTATCTATTTCTTCAAATAAGTTGTGGCCAAGTGAGTGTAGGTGCTTATGAGTGATGAAAGTGCTGAGAGGTAACAAAAGTAAATATCGCACAAATTCTTCCTATGGAGGTTTTCTTCTAAAGATGAAATGCATTATGCAATGAGGGAACATAAGCTGTGAATCTCAGTTCTGGACCACAAAAGCTATGTGGCCTAGGCACAGTTTCCTCAAAATGGGCATAAAAACCGATAACTTGAGGTTGTGAAGATTTAACATAACATAGTTACTATGTGGTTGATTACTAGTAGCTCTTATTTTTATATCCGATGACTACTTGAAACTTAACTTGGCTTTGTTTTTGAGGTTTTATTATTACAAAGGCTTTCTCCCACTCTGATAAAATGACTTATGTACTGAATATGTGTCCTGACTCTCTCCTTTGAAAAAAGGGCTGATTCCCCACATGTTTCCTAGGCTAAGACTGAGACCAATTTTTTAGGCTTAGGGACTCCAAGGATACTGTGAAAATTAAAGGTAATCTTCACTAAGATGGAGTCAGAAGGCCAACAGGCAGAACTCTCATACCATGCCACTTGTCAATTACAAGAATTGTCAATTGTACACCCAACAGAAGAATCCTCAAAAAGAAAGAATCATCGATTACAGACCCCAACCACAACAAAAAAGCATACTGTATCTCCTATAAGAAATTGACTACCCCCTGCAGCTCAGTCAATAAGAAACTGTCATCACCCTGAACACTTGCTTCTCTCCAATAGACTTTTGTTCAAACAATTCCTCCCAATTTCTCTCCTCCTCCTAAATAATGTTCCTCTCTAAAATAATAATGTTTGTGAGACTTGTCTGTGATTTGCTGTAACTTGCTTGTCCTGTATTGCAATTCTCTCCCATTCCCCAATAAACCCATTTTTGCTGGAAAAATTACTGGCATTCTTATAGTTTATTAATGATACTTATTAATGATCTTATTAACGATCTTATTAATGATACTTACTTTCTTTACTACAATTTATGTAGACAGGAGGTTTGTTTCCAGAGCACCATTTCTTTATCTGGTAGAAAGTAAAATAGTCATCGATACACTTCGCAAGGTTGTAATTAGGAAAGAACAGTAATGAATTAAGTATGAAGGCTCTGGTGGCTTTTGACATCTTATGTTGAACTTCTAAAAAGATGATAAAATTAGATTTCATTATAGGAAATGAACTATCCCTAGGACAACAAATCTCCCAAGAATGACCAAAATAAACTTTGGGAATTAAAAAAAAAACATTACATTTGAAGAATACTAATTACTACCCAATAAGTTTCTTCCAGTCAATATCCAGTGACAGTTTGTGTTGATAATTGCAGAGTTCTGAAAAGTCTCTTTGGTGAAGTGGGTGTCTATGAGTTAAGACTTATGGCACCTGATATGGACAGGAAACCACTACTATTTTTTACATTTCTAATCCTAATTTATCAATTAAGGGAATAAAGTAGGGGTCAGAGATATAGCCTACAATTCAACAGTGGGGAACAGATGGGGAAATTAAGACATGTTTGAGAGTAGAAAAATCTTCAAGGGAACCAGACTTCTGTCTCTCTAAAGAATGCATTTGATTTGAACAATTATTAGAGACTAAGTTCCTGGAGATATTAACATGCTTAATTTATGAAGTGACAATATGAAATTTTGATAATGAATTCAGTTTTTTAGAAAGAAGATAAAAGGCTAGTCTAAACAGAAACTTCATATAAGACATTTTGGGTAAAGAGAGATGGCCAAGAAGCAAATCTTCAAGTGCCCAACCCATAGTGATTCTGTCCAGTGTAGATTTTGAGTTGATAGAGACAAATAATTGATTCAGGATATTGGCTAATTGAGCAAATGCCAAAAATGGCACTAATTATATACACCACACTGTCTTTTTATGAATATGGAAGAACTCTATAGCTGCACCAATATACACATGTGGCTACTGAGCACTTGAAATGTGGATAGTGTGGCTATGGAATTAATTTTAAATTGTACTTAATTTCACAAATAAAGGATATAAAATATTATACTATATCCCTAAAAATGTGTGGAGGAGAGGAGAAAGGAATGGGTTCAAACTAAATAGCCATCACTTAAATATAGACTGCTAATATGCAGAAGAGTTTATATAAAAACCTAATGGTAACCATATATCAAAAACCACTAATAAATATGCAAAGAATAAAGAGAAAGAACTCCAAATATATCACTAAAGAAAATCAGCAAAACATGAGAGAAAGACAAGAAGAGATCAGAGAAAAACTTGAGAAACAACCACAGAGCAAGTAATAAAATGGCAATAAATACATATCTTTCAATAATTACTTTGAATGTAAATGGACTAAACATTCTCATCAAAAGACATAGGGTGAAAGAATGGAAACGAAAAAACAAGACCCATCTATATGGGTCCTACAGGAGACCCATTTTACACCTAAATTTAATTTACATCTGTAAATTAAAATAAGAAGGGATGGAGAAACATTTATCATGCAAATGGATGTCAAAAGAAAGCCAGAGTAGCAATACTTACTATCTTAGACTTAAAAACCAAGACACTGGGTGACAGAATGGATAAAAAAACAATACCCATCTATATGCTGATACTTCTATCTGTTGAGTTCTTAATTTAAATTATTATTAAATTTCATTTTTCAGGATTCTATTTGGATCTTTTTCAAGTCTACTTGTTCTCTCTCTCTCTCTATTATATGCATGTATAACATACATGTACATAAATAGTATATGCATATATATGTTATTTTATTTATTACATATTCTATTATATATATTCCAGTATTTGCTTTTATACCTGAGACTCTTTATTACAATTTAAATATATTAAACATACATATTTATGTATGTTAAATGCACATTATACATATTAATCATTTAAACATATATATTTATATTCTATGCCTATATATAACACACATGCATACATGTCCTATTATTTATTACATGTTCTATTATTTGCTCATATTACTGAGACTCTTACAATTTAAATATTTTAAACATACATATTTGAATCTTTATTTTTGAGAGAGAGACAGAGTGTGAGTAGGGTAGGAGCAGACAGATAGGGAGACACAGAATCCGAAGTAGGCTCCAGGCTCCAAGCTGGCAGCATAGAAGTCAACGTGGGGCCCAAACCCACGAACTGTGAGATCATGACCTGAGCTGAAGTTGGACGCTCAACCGACTGAGCCACCCAGGCACCTTGTAAACATACATATTTTATATCATTCAAAAGTCCCCAAATCTTAATTTTGCAGGTCTGATTGTGATTCTACAATTTGTGATTTCTGCTAGCACTTGCTCTTAAGAGCTTGTATTTTTTTCTCTTTCTTCTCTTTGTGCTTTTAATTTGATCTCAAGTTCTCTAGAAAATTTAACTATGGGAATACTTTGAAGTCTGGGAATTGTGTATACCTTTGCCACTCACCTAGGGCACACACAACTGAGATTTAAAATAAATTATCAAGTTATGTTTTTTAGCTTACATGGGTTCTATGACTTCAGGACACAAACCAATATGAGCATTTGCATGTGTTTATAAATTCCAAAGGGAAATTGTTATTCCTCATTCCAGTGCCAAATTCAACCTTTACAAATTTCCTTTATGTGTCTTACTGTGGCTTTAGTTTTGTTCACTCTTTTTTAAAGTTTATTTATTTATTTTGAGAGGGAGAGAGAGAGAGAATCCCAAGCAGGCTCTGAACTGTCAGTGCAGAGCATGATGCAGGGCTCAATCTTAGGAACTATGAGATCATGACAGAGCCAATATCAGGAGTCTGATGTTTAATGGACTGAAACACTCAGGTGCCTCTTGTTTACCCTTGCAGTGAGTAGCCCTTTGAACTTCCAATTTTAAATAGGAAGATATTAAAACTTTGTTGTACCTCTATGCTTTTTATTCTGACTTCTCTGATCCTCACTACTTATACAATGGAAAATAAATGTCACCAGATGCTGTCAATAACCTCAAGTCAAAGCTACCTTCAATTATTGCTTTCATGTCATTGTAGGCCTCTGCCAATTCCATACTTTCTTTTCAGTTCATTATTTTTGGTACAGTATTATTCAGTGTTTGCTCTGCTGCTCAAAAGTGGAAGTCTCCTGTGACTTCCTAATTGCCAAATCTACTGTCTTCTGTTTTTAATCCCATTCTACTCTGCATCACTCTTTGCAACATATTCTTCCTAAAAAAAGCCTTCCAAAACTTTTCTAAAGTAGTAATTTACTCCTATTATTACCCTGTAACAACTATTTCTCTCTAGTTCCTTACATGATCATTTCATTTTAGGTCTCACAAATTCAAATGATTTCAGGTGAGTCTTCCTCACATCCCAAAACATGTGTCCAAACACCTGTCTTTGGACAAGTGTGCAAAAATATACAGACATTTGCTTTCCATAATTTGGGTATTCCTTTGTGAGAATGAGTGCTAAGGTATATCTATTAACACTTTTTTTTTTTCATCTGCTATGCAGAAGCTTAAGTCTTACACATGTGAACTATTCATTCTCAAAGGAAGTTACAGGCAGTTATTTTGTGACCAGTGAAGGACTAAGGGAACAAGACCAGTGTCTGTGGAGCAACAGCAGAGAGGGAGGATGTGGGGGAAGTGCTGAGGTCAGTTGAAATGTACATTAGAGGGTGAATCAACAACTTCATTTTTAACAATAACCATTTTAGTGAATATCTCCCTGAATCTCAAAATCAGAGAAGGAAAATGAGATACAAGTTCAAGAATACTATAAAAAGCAGGCCTGGGAGGAAGAAAAACTGGCTTAGGTAATTGTATGTGTGTCAGAGACATATAGAGATTTTCTTTGGAAAACCTTGCTAGGGTGCTCACAAGCTTGTACCTTTTCATTGAATTAGGGAAGGACAGCCACATGATAAAACCTCCTTCAACAAAACTGTCAGCCTCTCCCAAGAATTCAAGATTCCTCTACACTCTTCCCTCTCTTCACTTCACTACGAACTGCCCTAACATCAAGGAAGAACATTTTTTGGCACAAAACAGACACTCAAATCAATGGAACAGAATAGAGAACCCAGAAATGGACCCACAAACGTATGGGCAACTAATCTTTGACAAAACAGGAAAGAATATCCAATGGAATAAAGACAGTCTCTTCAGCAAGTGGTGCTGGGAAAACTGGACAGCGACAGGCAGAAGAATGAACCTGGACCACTTTCTTACACCAGACACAAAAATAAACTCAACATGGATGAAAGACCTAAATGTAAGACAGGAAGCCATCAAAATCCTTGAGGAGAAATCAGGCAAAAACCTCTTTGATCTTGGCCACAGCAACTTCTTACTCAACACGTCTCTGAGGCAAGGGAAACAAAAGCAAAAATGAACTACTGGGACCTCATCAAAATAAAATATTCTGCACAGAGAAGGAAACAATCAGCAAAACTCAAAGGCAACCGACAGAATGGGAGAAGATATTTGCAAACGACCTATCAGATAAAGGGTTAGTATCCAAAATCTATAAAGAACTTATCAAACTCAACACCCAAAAAGCAAATAATCCAGTGAGGAAATGGGCAAAAGACATGAATAGGCACTTCTCCAAAAAAGACATCCAGATGGCCAACCGACACATGAAAAAATGCTCAACATCACTCATCATCAGGGAAATACAAATCAAACCCACAGTGAGATAGCACTTCACACCTATCAGAATGGGTAACATTAACAACTCAGGCAACAACAGATGTTGGTGAGGACACGGAGAAACATGATCTCTTTTGCATTGCTAGTGGGAATGCAAGCTGGTGCAGCCACTCTGGAAAACAGTATGGAGGTTCCTCAAAAAATTAAAAATAGAACTACCCTATGACCCAGCAATTGCACTACTAGGTATTTATTCAAGGGATACAGGTATGCTGTTTCAAAGGGGCACATGCACCCCAATGTTTATAGCAGCACTATCGACAATAGCCAAAGTATGGAAAGAGCCCAAATGTCCATCGGTGGATGAATGGATAAAGAAAATGTGGTATATATATACAATGGAGTATTACTTGGCAATCAAAAAGAATGAAATCTTGCCATTTGCAACTACATGGATGGAACTAGAGGGTATTATACTAAGCAAAATTAGTCAGTCAGAGAAAGGCAAATATCATATGGCTTCACTCATATGAGGACTTTAAGACACAGAACAGATGAACATAAGGGAAGGGAAGCAAAAACAATATAAAAACAGGGAGGGGGACAAAACAGAAGAGACTCAAATATGCAGAACAGAGGGCTACTGGAGGGGTTGTGGGAGGAGGGATGGGCTAAATGGGTAAGGGGCATTAAGGAATTTACTCCTGAAATCATTGTTGCACTATATGATAAATAATTTGGGTGTAAATTGAAAAAATAAAATTAAAAAAAGGAAGAACATTTTTATTTATTTATTTATTTTAATATATGAAATTTATTGTCAAATTGGTTTCCATACAACACCCAGTGCTCATCTTTTTAAAGATAATAATGGCCTCCTATAGTTGAGACAGAATTTATTCCAACTTTCTGAGGCCTCCCCTTCAAAGAAGAAAGCTGCTTTTTTGTGTTTTCTCTCTCTCTCTCTCTGACAAATGAGTCTCAGGACAAATGCTCCTAAAATTTACCATATCTGTTGCGAAATGGACTTTTTAGGTCATGTGATGGAGTTACTGGAGGTGGGGATAGAGAGGAGGAACCCTGTCAAAGACCTGTAGGTCAGGTTCAGTCCTATCACTTCAGCATGAGGATCCCAGCTCTAACACAGTGCCCAGAATATCAGAGGCACTCAAAAATAATTTTATGGACTTAAAGTACAGGATTTTCCCCAAACTGTGAACTTAATTGTCTACTAATGTCTTTAGTCCATTCCTATTTATTTATTTATTTATTTATTTATTTATTTATTTACTGCCTTCTGGGGAAAGAGAAGTTTTGTGAAGCCCCTTACCCTTACCGAACTGAAGAGTGGCATCTATGAGGACACTGAAAATGCCTGAAAGGTAGTTGAATAGGACAAGCTTGATGTAGGCAGAAGTACTTTTAGTAAACAGAAAGCTCAGCAGGTACATGAGGGGAATGACAGACCAGCCATATAGCATGAAGATCAGCATTGTGTCCAGAAAATGGTAGTCTGTGATGTAAATATCCAGTTGGCAGAATTTGAATGCTCCCTGAAACACAGAAGACACAGAAATAAGGCAAAGTGAAGGGCAACTGCAAAAATAATGCAAGCCAGAATGTTTAGAGAAGGAGATAGCAAATCCCATCACTATTTAGCATGGAAGTATTCATTAATTACATCAGCCTCTAAAAAGGTCATTAGCCTAGGAGCATGAAGTAAGATACTTTTACATCTGCTTCAGTAGAGGACAGCTCAATGAGCAGAACCAGTATAATTCCCTTTATTTTTTTATACTTGGAATGATTTTTTAATTAACGAACAAAGTCAGTATACTTTCCCCCAAAAGTAGATTATTTCTCCAGAAAGCCTATTTCTCTAAAGATTGTTTATCTCTGGTTATATATATTATTTATCATACCTTTAAACCAGGTCTCCTGATTCTATTCTATTCTCCCACTCCTATCACATCCACCCAAGCAACTCTGGGGCCTCTTTCTTCCATTTTTCTAATTGAAATTTAAAAACAGATACCGAAGCACAAAATTAGAGGTACCTAAACTGAATGGAAGATGGTGGTGGAGAGAGACCTGTAGTTGTTAAAGCAAAAAGATTTCTAGAAATCTGTATCTCATTAGTTAGTAAATGCAGTTTATCCACAAATGTCAGCATTGTCTCTTTGGGCAGTTACACAATTACATAGCAGGACAACCAAGGAGAAAATAATACAGTTAAGCTAAGAATAGTTATGCAATTGATTACTGATACTCTTGGTGGTGGTAGCAGTAGTAATCGAAAGGATTAGTAGGTTATTTATTTAAATCCAGTATCTGTAGCTATGGTTGGTTTGTTTCTGAATGAGCATTCTGTAAACTTAAACAGAATAAATACAATGAGGTAGTCAAATAAAAGTTGGGGTGATCTAGAAATCTCTGTGTTTGAAGGCTTAAAATCCTTGAAAGTCACAAATCATAAGTTATCTCAAGGAAAAGTTAAATTCCTACTTGGATATGTAATATATTCTGTTCTTTGACAAGAAGACTGCATACTGTGAATATGTAGATTCTACCCCAATTGATCTATAAATAAACATGCACACAAGGTTTTTAAGTAAATATTTCAACCTCTCTATTATGAAATGTAACACATGCCCAGAATAATGCATAAAACATAAATGAATTATCACATTTTATTATCACAAAACATCGCGGGCAACTACACCATGCCAGTACCCAAAGAAATCAATCATGAACTCCTTCAACTCCTGTAAAAGTAACCACTATTCTGAAATTTATCAATACTTCCTTATATTTCTTAATAGTATGATATGCATGCATTCCTAAATACTAAAATATGTATTAACTGTATTTTGAAATTTTTATGATTGTAATTATACAATATATATTTTTTGAATTTGGATTCTTACACTCAGCATTATGTTTGTGTGATTCATTCATGTGATGAATGCAACCTTAGTTCACTCTTTATCATTGCTATAGAAGATTCCTTTGAGTTTTACTTTTGATCGATAATGGGTTGCTTCCAAAGTTTCATCACTGTAGTAGCTTTGTTAGGGCTGCCGTAACCAGATAATGTGGACTGGTGGCTTAGGCAACAGAAATTCATTTTCTCACAGTTCTAGAGGCTGGAAGTCCAAGATTAAAATGCCAGCAGGGTTAGTTTTTTATTTTATTTTCTCTTTTTTTAATATTTCTGAAAAATTTTATTCAAACATGTTTTTCTAGTTACAGAAATAGAACATGTTCAATGTAGAAAAACTAGAAAATGCACATATGCATAGGAAAATACAAAAATACTCAAAGTTCACAGCTCAAAGAACTTCACTATTAAAATGTGAACATCTATCACTTCAGACTATTTCAACTGCATACACTTATATGCTTTTTCTTATAATGGACTAAATTTTTGATTACTTAATGCTTTTCATGAGAAAAATATACTTTTCTAGTAGCTTCTTAGTAGTTCAATATCATTCTTTTATATAAATGTATCACAATTTACTTAGGCAATTTTTAAAAGTTTTTATTTAAATTCCAGTTAACATACAGTGTAATATTTCAGGTGTATGATTTAGTGATTCAACACTTCATACAATACCTGGTGCTCATCACAAATGCACTCCTTAACCTTCATCACTGATTTCACTCATCCCTCCACCCGCTTCCACTCTGGTAATCATTGGTTTGTTCTCTATAGTTAAGAGTCTGTTTCTTAGTTTGCCTCTCTCTCTTTCCCCCATGGTCATTTGTTTTGTTTCTTAAATTCCACATATGAGTGAAATCATATGAGTGATATCACATGTCTTTCTCTGACTTATTTCACTTAGCATAATACCCTCTAGCTCCATGCATGTGTTTGCAAATGGCAATATATCATTCTTTTGATGGCTGAATGATATTCCATAATATTACATTCCAAACACTTGGGCTGTTTCCATTATTTGGCTATTGTAGATAATGCTGCTATAAACACTGGGGTGCATGTACCCCTTTGAATCAGTATTTTTGTATCCTTTGGGTAAATACCTAGTAGTGCAATTGCTGGATTGTGGGGTAGTTCTATTTTTAACTTTTTGAGGAAACTCCATACTGTTTTCCAGAGTGGCTGCACCAATTTGCATCCCCAACAGTGAAGGAGGGTTTCCCTTTCCACACATCTTTGTCAACACCTGTTGTTCCTCATGTTGATTTTAGCCATTCTGACAGGTGTGAGGTGATATTTCATTGTAGTTTTGATTTCTGTTTCCCTGATATTGAGTGATATTGAACAACTTTTCCTGTATCTGTTGGCCATCTGTATGTTTTCCTTGGGAAATGATGTCTATTTATGTCTTCTGCCCATTTTTAAATTGGATTATTTGTTTTTTGGGTGTTGAGTTTAATACGTTCTTTATAGATTTTGGATACTAACCCTTTATCAGATATGTCATTTGCAAATATCTTCTCCCATTCCATCGGTTGCCTTTTAGTTTTGTTGTATTGCTATATACTTCCCTCTTAGGACTGCTTTGTTGTACCCCAAAGGTTTTGGACTGTTGTGTTTTCATTTTTATTTGTTTCCATGTATTTCTTTTAATTTTTTCTTTGATTTTCCTGATTTACCCATTTATAGTTCAGTAGCATATTGTTTAACCTCCATGTATTTGTGGTCTTTCCAAATTTAATCTTGTGGTTGACTTCAAGTTTCATAGAGTTATAGTTAGAAAATATACACAGTATGATCTCAACCTTCTTACATTTGTTGAGGCCTGACTTATGTCCTAGTATGTGATCTATTCTGGAGAATGTTCCATGTGCACTAGAAAAGCATGTGTATTCTGCTGTTTTAGGATAGAATATTCTGATTATATCTATTAGTCCATCTGGTCCAGTGTTATTCAAGGCCATTGTTTCCTTATTGATTTTCTGTTTAGTTCATCTGTCCATTGATGTCAGTGGGGTGTTAATATCCCCTATTATTATTGTCTTATTATCAATGAATTCCTTTATGCTTGTTGTTAATTGTTTTATATATTTTGGTGCTTCCATGTTGGATGCATAAATATTTACTGTGGGAACAAGAACACCACAATGACCACAGGTGCATATTTGTTCAGGCTCCAAGATCTCTGAGAAAACTTGAGATTGTAAGGTTAAAAATAACCTAAAAGGACTTGAGTGAATTGCCCTTGGGAAATGTGGTCTGTTTTTTAGTACACAGATAGGGATGTTTTGCTTAAAGGAAGCCAGCTGTATATAGCACAGTGCGTTCACTCCCTTGTCTTTGCTTCTATCCTAAAGATTCTTATCAGAACATATGTATCTGCAAGACTGCTCTTGTATGCAAGATAAGTATGATAGCTGAATCAGATGTACATTGTTGACATGCTTTGCTAAGCTTCTGTTGTTAATCATTGCTGATCTGTTTTTCCTGAAAACGTATATAAGATGTACAATAAACCTTGGTACCCCGGGCTGTTGGCTTGGGTCCCCTGTGCCTTGCTCTACTGTTGTCTTTTTTTTCTCACTTCCTTCACCACCCCAAGTCCATGGCCTATTAAGGTCGACAATTTACAATTGTTAGATCTTCTTCTTTGATTGTCTCCTTTATTATGATAGAGTGGCCTTCTTCATGTCTTGTTATAGTCTTTGGTTTAGTGTCTAGTTTGTTGGATATAAGTATTGCTACCCCAGCTTTCTTTTAAGATACATTTGCATAATAAGTGTTTCTTGAGCCCTTTACTTTCAATTTGCTGTTGTCTTTAGCTCTAAAATGAGTCTCTTGGGCACCTGGGTGGCTCAGTCATTAAGCATCTGACTTGGGCTCGGGTCACGATCTCATGGTTCTTGAGTTTGAGTCCTACATCAGGTGAGCACGAGCCCCAATTCCAGTGAACTGAAGCCCTGCTTTGGCACAAAAAACATGTGCCCCACTTCAGGGGAGCCCCATTTTCTCTCTCTCTCTCTCCTTCTCTCTCTTCCTCCACCTCTCCTGGGATTCTCTCTCTCTCTCTGCCCCTCAATCACTCATTCCCTCTCTCTCTCTTTCTTTCTCTCTCTCTCTCTCAAAATAAAATAAAATAAAGTAAAATAAAATAAAGTAAAATAAAATAAAATAGTCTCTGTAGACAGCATATAGATGGGTCTTTTGTTGTTGTTGTTGTTTATTTATTTTTGGGACAGAGAGAGACAGAGCATGAATGGGGGAGGGGCAGAGAGAGAGGGAGACACAGAATCGGAAAGAGGCTCCAGGCTCCCAGCCATCAGCCCAGAGCCCGACGCGGGGCCCGAACTCACGGACCGCGAGATCGTGACCTGGCTGAAGTCGGACGCTCAACCGACTGCGCCACCCAGGCGCCCCTAGATGGGTCTTTTTTTTTTAAATCCATTATGACATCCTGTATCTTTTGATTGGAGTATTTAGTCCATTTACATTCAGAATAATTATTGATAGATATGTATTTAATGCCATTTTCTTATTTGTTCTATTGTTGTTTCTGGAGATTTTGTCTGGTCCTTTCTTGCCTTTGTCATTTTTGGTCTCTCCTTTCCACTTGAAGATTCCCTCTTAATATTTCTTGCAGGACTGGTTTAGTGGTACAAACTCCTTTAGTTTTTGTTTGGAAAACTCTATGTCTCTTTCTATGCTGAATGATAGGCTTCCTGGATAGAGTATCCTTGGCTGCAGTTTTTCCTATTCAACATGTTGAATATATCATGCTACTCCCTTCTGTCTTGCCATGATTCTATTGAGAGATCTACAGCTAGCCTTATGGGTCTTCCCTTGTAAGTTAAGGACTTCTTTTGTCTTGCTGCATTTAATATTTTTTCTTTAGCACTTTATTTTGCAAATTTTATTATAATATATCTTGGTGTTGGTCTGCTTTTGTTGGGAATTCTCTGTGCCTCCTGGATTTCGATGTTTCTTTCCTCAGATTAGGGAAATTATTAGCTATTATTTCCTCAAATTTTCTGTACCCTTTTCTCTCTTCTTCTTCTGGGACTCCTATAATACAAATGTTATAACGTTTGATGGAGTCACTGAGTTCCCTAAGTCTATTCTTGTGTTCCATGATTCTTCTCTGTCTCTTTGTTCAGTTTCATTATTTTCCATTATTTTGTCTTCTATATCACTTATTCATTCCTCTGCCTCTTCCACTCCACTGTTCACTGCATCAAGCTTGTTTCCAATCTCAGTTATTGCATTCTTTATTTCTGACAGATTCTTTTTTAACTTTTTTATCTCTGTGGTAAGGGCCTCTCTGATGTCTTCCATTCTTTTCACAAGCCCACAAAGTATCCTTATAATTGTTGCTTTGAATTCTCCATCAGGCATGTTACTTATATCTGTTTCACTCAGATCTCTGGCTGTGGCCTTATCTCGTTCTTTCATTTGGGATGAATTCCTCCATCTTGGCATTTTTGTCCAAGTCTCCCCTGCCTTCTCTGTGTTAGAAAAGCCTGTAATGTTTTCTGTTCCTGAGAGTAAGTGGCTCTAGGAAGGAGGGGTCATATAGTGTCCAGAGTCTGGTGCCTTACTGTCTCTGGTGCATGTCGCATACACTCTGCATTGTGTTCTGGCTGCTCTATCCTTCAGACCAGTTGTCTGCAGAGGCTCTCCTTGCCTGCAGTGGGCAGTGTTTAGTCCTTGGCCAGAATGTGTTGAGTTTTAACTAGGTGTGCTCTAGTCTGCTTATTAAATGAGACCATACTACTTCTAGAAGACCTGCAGAACTCTCTGGTCGGGAGACATGGTGTGATGAGGGGTTTCTGCTGGTCTTCTGGGGAAGGGGACCACTGCACTGGGACTGAGTCATGCTTGACTGAGATGGGCCGTCCCGCCAAAGCACAGGGACATGGGACTTGTAAGCAGGTTAGGAATCCTGTGTCAGTGCTGTGCTGCTTCCCTCAGGTGGCTGTGTGTTTATGATGAGGAGCAGGTGAATTAAATGGCACCAGCCAGCTCCTTTGTCCCCAGAGACATGTTTCTGTGAATGTTGCCCTTCAAAAAAAGCACTAGTGGAAGAGCGAATAAGCTCCCCACTGTGTGTCCCAGGTGTTTTTCAGATCGCTGTTTCCATGCTGTTTGCCTCTGAACTGTTCCTGCCTTCTTTCCAAGGAGCAGCACAGTGTCCTCTGAGCTCTATCCCAGCCAGCCTGCTGACCTTTAAAGTTCCAGGCTTTAGAGACATGGTGTGGGCAGGGGCTTGGTTGGTCTTCAAGGAGAAGGACTCTCTATGCTGTACTGACACAAGCTTGACTGAGAAGAGAAGTCCTGCCAGAGTACAGGGGTGTGGGGTTTGGTATCAGCAAGTTAGTCAGCCTTTGTCAGCATTGCACTTCTTCTAGGTGGCTCTGTATTTAAGCTAAGGGGTAGTGGAAGGAAATGGGGCCAGCCACCTCCTTTGTCCCTGGAGAGGCATCTCCATGAGTGCTGCCTCTCAGGGATGCCCTCCAAGAAGAGCAAATAATCGCACCCCTGTGTGTCCCAGGCATTCTTCAGATTGCTTTTTCCACATCATCTGCCCCTAGGTTGTTTGCTGCCCTTCTCTCCAGAAGCAGGATAATGACTTCAGGGATCTAGCCCACCCAAGCCCCCTGACCTTTAAAACTCCAGGATTTAAGCCCTGGTGGTTGCAAGAACTCACAAAAATCACTCCCTCTCATTTTCCCAGCCAATGACCTTGGGGAAATGATTTCCTGTGCACTCCCCTGTGTGCTCTACTCTCTCTCACCCTTCTCCATTACCATGGCTCTCTCCCATCCACAGCACCTGTTATCTTTTTCTCCCCTAAACCATCTCCACACTTCCTACCTTCTATGATGTGGCTTCTTTTCTCCCTTTAGTTGTGGAGTTAGCTTTGTCAGTCTTTAAGTTGACTTCTGGAGTACTTAGAATGATTTGATAGTTATCTAGTTGTGTTCGTGGAAGGAGATGAGCCTAGCATCATCCTACTCTGCCGCCATCTTAGGGTTGGTTTTTCTAAGATCTTTCTCCTTGGCTTGCAAGTGGCCACTTATTGGCTGTGTCCTCAATGGTCTTCACTATGTGCATGCACATTCCTTGTATCTCTTTGTATGTTCAAATATCCTCTTCTTATGAAGGATACCAGTCAGATTGGATTAGGAACCACCCTAACTACTTCATTTTAACTTAATCACCTCTTTGAAGGTCCTATCTACAAATACAGTTAAGTTACATAATTAGAGAATAGGAATTTTCCATGGAGTACAGAAGGAAAATGAGCCCTCAAGAAACTGTATCTAATACTTACTAGTAGTAAGCAGCAGGTAATAAAGAATATGATGAAATCCCACAGTAGAGCAGAAAGCCAGTACACAGGGACATAAACCCCACTCAAAAATTGGATGTGCTTTGCCTTAGTGATGTGTTCAGTCACTGTCAGGAGACAAAAGCCACTGATCAAAAGAGCCATGCCAAAATGTATATTTAAGGCCACGTGGAGTCCATTTGACAATCTACAGAATAAGGAACAAAAGTAGATATATCAGAAAATCAATACAGCAGAAAAAAATTTCTAGCAATAGGTATTTTTAATTATCTAAATGTAATCATATAGCATAGGAAAGATGCATTTAAAATATCAAATTTTAATAAAAAGGATAACATACGTTGCACTTTGTTTTTTATGCCTAAGGTATGGCTGAGGCTTATTGGAGACTGTTAAAGAAGCATTGGAGCCAGCAATGGTCATGAGAAGAATGTTGTCTAATATCGACAGGGTCAGAGATGGTGAATGATATGCTTGATTGTTGAAAAGACCAGTAAGTATTATTTTATTTGTCTTCACCTCAATGGAAAATGCAACAATGCATAAGTGAATACAATCTTCATTTTCCACTAAGTATTTCAGTAGGTCACCTAGGATGAGGAAACGAAGTTGATCAGTTTATCCACAAAAGAGGTCATCTACAACATATGTTGGGGAAAGGAACAAATAATTTTACTTGGTTCTCATCCCTTTAAATTTTCTCATAATAATTATTTCAAACATTTGCCATTCTCCTCAAGCACTCTATTCCATCATTAAATTACAAGCTCTCTCACTTCATAGCCTATAACCTAGATTCCTACTTCACTGAGAAAACACAGGCACATGGTATAGACTTCCTTATCTATCTCAAAGAGATCCATAAGTATTTCCACCTGTAGATTTTATTGCTTAAGGCAAAAAATCTTTCCTCTGTGAAAATAAAAGTGTGGATTAAAAAAATAAAAAGTCACCTGTTTGAAAGTATAGATATCTAAAAATACAATCAACATTTGGGAACTAAGCCCCTAGAAGGAATATAAATGCATTGAAGCGAGCCAAAAATTCCATACCCTTTTTTCCTTTAAGGCATTTTAGATTTATAAATGACAGAATGCATTGGTAAATCTTCAAGCTTTCAGTGCGGCCCCTGAGGGCTATTCCATAATAGTAAGAGTGAGGAACATTATATCAGTTCTTATAAAAATTTCCACCCAGTCTCAAATTACTTAAATCATTGATTAGATTTAGATCTTCCCTTAACCTCACTATCTTTCAGAAGCTAAATTACATCTCCTCTGGAGAAGACAATCTCCAGTAGAGTCATATCATTTTCATGTACAATATTTGGCATTCAGTTAAAAAGTTACTAAGTATAATAAAAAAACAGAACCAAGAAAAAGCACAGATAATAGAACTAGATCCACATATAAACTAAGTATTAGAGACAGAAAATTTATCAGAGAACTGGAGTCCACAGAAAGAATCAAATATTGATGTTAGAATTGAAAAAACACATCAATTAAAATTAAGAATTCAACATATATAGGGGCACCTGGGTGGATTAGTCGGTTAAGTGTCTAACTTTGGCTCAGGTCTTGATCTTATGGTTTGAGTTTGAGCCCTGCATCAAGCTCTGTGCTAACAGCCCAGAGCCTGCGGTCTGCTTCAGACTCTGTGTCTCCATCTCTATCTACCCCTTTCCACCCCCCCTGTCAAAAATAAATAAACATTAAAAAGTTAAAAAAAATTCAACATATAACTCATAGCAGGTTGGATACAAATAAAGAGTTGACAGGAAACTGGAAGACAGGTTGATTAGAAAATACCCAGCTAAAAGCACAGTGAGAAAGAGAATGGGAAACAAGACAAGACATAAATTACCAATATTAGAAATGACACAGGGGAAATCAATACAGATCCTACAGATGTCAAAATGGTAATAAAGGAATACTGTGAACAACTTTACACACAAAATTTGACAATTTAGATGAAACAGAATACTTCCTCTAAATGGATAAACTATAACAATTCTCCCAATGTGATATAGGTCACTCAAATAATTGTAATTATTAAGGAAATTTAACTCATAAATTAAAAATTCCTCCCAAAAGAAATCTCTAGGTCTAGATGTTTTCACTGGAAATTCCCACCAAATGTTTAAGGACGAATCAACACTAATTATACACAATGTCTTTCAGAAAATATAGGAGAAGGGAGTATTTTTGAATTCTTTTTATCAAGTTAGTATTGCTCTAATAGAAGAAAGACAGCACTAAAAAAAAAAAAGGAAAAGTACAGACAAATATTCTTCACAAATATAATGAAACACCCCTTAACAAAATATTAGCAATAAAATTTAGCATGAAAATAATTGCAACTCTGATCACGTGGGGTCTATTCCAGGGATCCAAGACTGGTTCAACATTTAAAACTCAGTCAATGTTATCCACCATATTTTAGTCTGAAGAAAAATCATTAATAATCATATCGATCTATGCAGAAAAAACATCTGACAAAACTCAGTAATCAGTCATGAAAATACTCTGAAAAAGAAAGTTATAGAGCTGAACTTCCTCACTTTTATATAGAACATCTAGAAAATCTCTATAGCTAAAATTATACTTTTGATGAAAGACTGCCTACTATCCCCCTAAAACCGGGAACAAAGGAAAGAATGCCCACTCTCACCACTCGGATCCAACACTGTGCTAGAGGTTCTACCCAGGGCAGTAAAGCATAAATAGTAAATAAAAGATATGCAGATCATAAAAGAAGAAATAAAACTGCTTTCATTTGCAGGTGACATGATTGTCTATATAGAAAATCCAAAGGAATTCACACACAAAAATTTGAAACTAATGCATGAATTCATCAAGTTTGCAAGATACAAAATAACGTACAAAAATCAATTGTTTTCTATACAATAGAATAAACATATAGACACCAAAATTAAAAATACAATACCATTTATATTTGCTAAAGAAATGAAATGTTTAGGTGTAAATTCAACAAAATACATACAGGACATGTACGATGAAAAGTATGCAACACTGATGAAAGAAAAAAGTTCTTCATGGAATTCTAAATAAATCAGTTATGTTCATGGATGGACTATCTAACACAGTAAAGATGTCACTTCTCCCCAAATTCAGACACAGATTTAATTAAATCTTGTCAAAATTCCAAAAATTTATTTTTGTATTTATAGACAAGCTTATTCTAACATTTAAATGGAGGGGCATCAGGGTGGCTCTGAAGTCAGCTAAGTGTCTTCAGCTCAGGTCATGATCTCATGGTTCATGAGTTTGAGCCCTGCATTAGGCTCTGTGCTGACAGCTCAGAGCCTGGACCCTGCTTTAGAGTCTGTGTCCTCCTCTCTCTCTGCCCCTCCCCTGCTTGCATTTTGTTTCTCTCTCTCTCAAAATGAACAAACATTAAAAAAATTTAAAAAATATTTAAATGGAAACAAAGGAACTAAGAAACTTTAGATAATAAGAAAAAAGTGGGAGGAATCAGCCTACCACATATCAAACGTAATAGTGATGAAGGAAGAGATACACAGGTTAATGGAATAGAATAGGGAGCCCCCAAATAGGCTCACATGCACCCAAATGATTTTTGATAAATGTGTGAAAAATTAAATGGAAATCATAGTTTAACAAATGTTATTGAAGCACTTGGACATCTACAAGTACAAAATTTATCCTTGACCCACATCTCACATGTATTAAGGTCAATGCCAAATGAATCATGACTTTAGATGTAAAGTGTAAAACTAAAAATTTCAGAAAACTATAAACATTTAAGATAAAATTTTCAGGATCTAGGGCTAGGCAATGAGTTTTTAAATTATTTTTTAAACATAATTTATGGCCAAATTGGCTAACATACAGTGTGTAAAGTGTGCTCTTGGTTTTTGGGGTAGATTCCTGTGGTTCATCGCTTACATACAATACCCAGTACTCATCCCAACAAGTGCCCTCCTCAATAGGCAATGAGTTTTAGACTTGACACCAAATACACAATCCATAAGAAAATGAATATGTGGGACTTCATCCAAATAAAAAACTTTTATCTTGCAGAACCCATTAAGATAATGAAAAGATAATAAACAGTACGAGAAAGAATATATAACTAACTCTCAAAACAACAGTAAAAAACAAACAAAACCCTATACACTTAGAAAATGAGCAAAACACTTGAACACACATTTCACTGAACATGATACACAGATGTCAATAAGCATAAGAAAGGATGTCAAAGGCAAATTAAAACAACAATGAGAATCTTAAGGTTTGCCTCCCTCTCTGTTTTTATCTCCTTTTTCTTTCCCTTCCCCTATGTTCATCTGTTTTGTTTCTTAATTTCCACATGAGTGAACTACGATATCTGTCTTTCTCTGATCGACTTGTATTTCACTTAGCATAATACATTCTAGTTCCATCCATGTTGTTTCAAATGGTCTTAAATACAGAGAACAAATAGAGGGTTGCTGGAGGAGAGGTGGGTGGAGGAAGGGGTAAATGGGTGATGGGAATCAGGGAGGGCACTTGTGATGAACACTGGGTATTGTATGTAAGTGATGAATTACTAAATTCTACTCCTGAAACCAATACTACACTATATGTTAACTAACCTGAAATAAAAAAACATAATGAAATACCACAACACATCTATCAGAATGGCTAAAATAAACATTAAAATAGTGACAACACAAATGCTGGGGAAGATGAGAGGAACTGGATCACTCATTCATTTTTGGTGGGAATGTAAAAAGATACAGCCATCCTGAAAAACAGTTTTGTAGTTTCTTCAAAAAACAAACATGCAACCATCATGAGTCAACAATTAAAATTAAAATCCTAGGCATTTATCCCATAGAACTTAAGATGTAGGTTCACACAAAAATATGTACACAAAGTTTCATAACAGCTTTATTCATAAAAGACAAAAACTGGGGGGGGGGGGCGCGGGGAACGAGGTGTCCTTCAATGGGTGAACAGTTAAACAAACTGTTTAACTACATCCCCATGATGGAACAGCTCATAACATATGATGGAATGAACTATGGAGAGACACCACACCAGAGAATTATGCTGAGTGAAATGCCAACCCCAGAAGTTTACATATTATATGATTCCATTTTTATGTCTTGAAATGATTAAGCTATACAAGTGGAGAACAGATTAGTGATTGCCAGGGTAGATAGGGAATGAAGAGAGCAGCAGGAATGATCCTTGTGGTGATGGAATGTTCTGTATCAATGTCAATATCCTGGTGGGGATATTGTACTATAGTTTTGCAAAGATGTTACCCTTGGTACACAGAATCTCTCAGTATTATTCTGCACAACACTAAAATGACAATTATCTCAAAACAAAAAGTTAAAGTATCAAATTCAGTGCTAATGGTTCTTATTCTCCTCCACTTCTAAAGGGAAAACAAAATCTACTTTAGTCCTCTTCAGAGATCTTTCAAACCTATCTTTCTTTCTTTCCTTCTTAACCTCTCTTGCCTGGATTATCACAATTGTATCCTAGCTGACTTCATTGACATTGGATCCCTCCCCTTTCGAATCATTCCCTCACATTTAATTCAGTTTGATAAGATTATATTTAATTATATGCTCATTATGTGCCAGGAATTGGGTTAGGTTCTAGAGATATAAAAGAAGTTCTGGCCTCTCCACAATTAGTTTCAGAGGCACATGAAAAATACGCTATTGTAATTCAGTGAGATAAATTCCATAAAAGAGGCATTCATCTAAATTGTGGAAGAAGAGGAAATGTAAACTGTTGTTTGGTAGGGCAGATGGCATTTTTCAGTTATTATAAGCTCATATCCTTTCTAAAGCACATACTCACTTATTTTGTGGTTCTGCTTAAAAAGTTAGCAATGATTTCCCCAGTGTTAATGTGTATACTATTTGAGAAGAAAGTTAGAGAGGAGAAATTATCTAGAAACAATTTCCTTGTTAGTAAACATTTTCTTATAGTTTGGGGAAAAGAGAGAGCAAGTTCTCGCTCTACCTTTACCCTAAAATTTTCAGTTAAAAAAGGCATGCAGTGTGGAATAGAGAGAAACCACGTAAAATTAGTAGAGTTCACTTATAAAAGGTTCTGTGTCTAAGCTAATGAGAGTACAAGATAGAAAAGTACATGTAGGGTTCTTAAAAAACAAAGTAGGACTGGCTAAGCCTAAACATTATCTCTCTACGACTTGATAATTTCTAGCTAATGAACTTTAAAATAATAACACTAAATTGAGAATGCTTATCAGTGGGGCTACTGTATTATTCTATTGTATTTTTCAGTCTTATTATCAATATAATAAAGCATATTTAATCATTTTACTTTTTTAATGTAAGCAGTATGTCATAGTTTTTTATTTATTTATGTATTTATTCATTTATTTTTGTTTTTTTTTTTTAAATTTTTTTTTCAGCGTTTATTTATTTTTGGGACAGAGAGAGACAGAGCATGAACGGGCGAGGGGCAGAGAGAGAGGGAGACACAGAATCGGAAACAGGCTCCAGGCTCTGAGCCATCAGCCCAGAGCCCGACGCGGGGCTCGAACTCACTGACCGTGAGATCGTGACCTGGCTGAAGTCGGACGCTTAACCGACTGCGCCACCCAGGCGCCCCAGTATGTCATAATTTTTTAAAAATAATGATTTTATTCTTTATCCTCTGTCCTTATTGTATGACCTTGGTTAACAAAGGCTTACCTACTATTTGTAGTGGAGGAAGAATAGGGATGATTATTCGTAGTCAGCCAACCTATTACTTGTAGGTTGTAGAATCAGTATCAGTATGATGTTTATAAAGAACAATTAACATTTCTGAAATGCATTTTTACAACAGAACCTCAATGACAGAAAAAAAAGAACCATACAAGCTTGCCAAAACTTCAGGCTATTTGCTAACTCAAGAACACTGTTCATCAGATCACAGTTAAAAAAAAAAAAAGTGCAGTCTCTGGGAAGAGAACAAACAGACTTTATGGTCAGAGAGGTAATGCAGTGCAGTGAGTGGTTAAGTTTGCAGATGTCAGCAGAACAGATTAAAGTCTCTCTTTATTACATGCCTGATACGGGGCAAATTACAGCTTCCTTAAATGCCAGTACCCTTCATTTAACTGATGTTATGAATAAAAATATCTACTATAGGGTGACTGGGTGGCTCAGCTGGTTAAGCGTCTGACTTGAGCTCAGGTCATGATCTCACAGTTCATGGGCACGAGTCCTGCTTTGGACTCTGTGATGACAGCTCAGAGCCTAGAGCCTGGAGCCTGCTTTGGATTCATTGTCCCCCTCCCTCTCTGCCTCTCCCACAGTCGCACTTTGCCTGTCTGTCTTTCAAAAATAAGTAAACATTATGGGGCTCCTGGGTGGCGCAGTCGGTTAAGCGTCCGACTTCAGCCAGGTCACGATCTCGCGGTCCGTGAGTTCGAGCCCCGCGTCGGGCTCTGGGCTGATGGCTCAGAGCCTGGAGCCTGTTTCCGATTCTGTGTCTCCCTCTCTCTCTGCCCCTCCCCCGTTCATGCTCTGTCTCTCTCTGTCCCCCCCAAAAATAAATAAACGTTAAAAAAATTTAAAAAAATAAGTAAACATTAAAAAAAATTAAAAAAATATATCAGGGTGATTGCTCAGATTAAATAACACGCAGGTAAAGTGCTTAGCTGAGTTCTTGTCAAAACCAAGGGCTCAGTAAATGTAAACTATTATTGCTAGTATCTTAAAAACAAATGTATTCAGAGGAACTAGCCCATTAAGTCTTTAGTTACACTGTAGCCAAATATACCATTAAGACCTTCTTTGCAAATCATACAACCAGATCTTCATCTAAGAGCAGTCTTTTTTTACTTAAAGAGTCTTACCTTGCACTTCCTTAAGTGTGTGTTTGTCAGACTCTAGCATACTCCTAAGATGTTTTAGGAAAATCAGGGTCAAATTAGAATTCCCAGAAATAGATAAAGGCACTATAGTTTGACCATATTGATTCAAATCCATTTGTCTGGCCTTTTCATCATTATTATGTAAAAAATTTTCAGCCTTTAAGAGAAGAGTAAAGGAACCTAGAAGTGCCAGCATCTGTAGCAAAATCAATTTCCAATTCCTCCAACTGAACAGTGCCCTCTTTATGAACATGGCACAGAACTGCTGGTGGTAGAGGGAATACTAAAGAAGGAGAAAAAAAAACACCGTGTTACAATATTCATGGACCCAAACAGATCATTCATGATGACATTCATTAAGATGAATGAACACTCTGGAATTTTATAGAAGACACATAAAATTTACCTACATAAATACTTAGAATCTAAGCATAGTGTGATACTACCTGAGAGTTTGATCAGTCTTTTCTTTATAAGGCAGGGGTCAACAAACTATGACCTATTTTTGTAAACCAAATTTTCCTGGAACACAGCTATACCCATTCATTTCTGTATTGTCTATGGTTGCTTTTTTGGAGTGACTGCAAGAGAGACCAAGTGGGCAACCTGCCTCAAATATCTATTATCCCTTTCTGCAAGTTTGCTAGCCACTGTTGTAAGGTATTAAATATGGTGTTTAAGGTCTGGATTTTCATATAACACACTTAAAATCTCAACAGGATGATTTTCCCCAGACTCCTGACAGTCAAAATACAAACAAACAAACAGGTTCCTTATAGAAGGAAGAGATAATTAGAAGAAGAAGCAAAGAAATGCTGGGCAACTCACTTCCCATGGGAAGGGACTTCCCATGCTGAGGATCGCACTGATTAAGGAAAGATCCCTTATGCAGTATGAATACCCACAGCAAAAACTTAAAACACTGGGCATGCTTGATTACTAAAAACCATGCTCTTTCCAGTTCTCTTTAGCTTCAGTGAACTACCAAATTTCCGGGTTAGCAATTTGAGAGAAAAGAAAAGAATTCTAAGACAGAAAAAAGAACTAAGGAATAGCAATGGTGAGAGTGACCTTTATCTAGACCTCATCACTTCTGCACTGGGAAATTAATTAGTTCGTGGTACAGACTGCTCCCTAACTGGTGGGGTGCAGTGGCTAAGAATGCCACACCATCTTTGTTCAAGTAGTAAAAGAAGATGTACCTCTTGTGCACCAATCAAATAAATATTCATAAGGTTTCTTAGCAAAGGTGCTTACCCCAGTATTAAACATAATAGCAGGACTTTCGTTCATGGTGGAACACTGTGCTCTCTCATTGCTTGACATATTCCTATTCTGGTTCTTAACTGAGACTTCACTCATCACAGAGGGAGGTGGAGTTTGGGTAGCTGGGATATCTACTTGTGAATCTTCCATATTATTGACTCTGCATAAAAATAGAACACAGCATTTAATTTCAATTCTATCCCATGTCTTATTTGAAGAATGTGAGTCACAACATTCAACTCAGAAGCCTCCTTGGTTTGCTTATTGACTTGGCAGGGGGCATTATATGGAGGCAACAGGGTAACTCGGGTAGAGTAGTGGTTCCCAAACACCAGTCACAGGACTGCTGCGAGACATAGTAAATCTAGGAAAACTAGTGCAAGGTATTGAATGCTTCATTAGGTTGAACTGATTCAAGTTAAAGATTAACATCTTAGTCATATTTTGAGTATATCAAAATATCTGCTCCTATTTTGAAATGATGGCAGTATTTTTTCAGTGTTGCTGTAAAACAAATCATGTCAGTTCCCTCCTCCTCGCACCTCTTAAATTTCTAATGTGTGACTCTGAGCCTGGTGAGTGTACAGAAGGGACCAAGATATGGTCCTCCCCCCACCCCCTGGCTATGGTTTTTATTTTCCCTATGTATCCTTGCTCACCTAAAAAATACTTCTTCCATGGTAGTAACAGAGGCACCAAAGCTAGCAATGCCTAACTCATACCGTCTCTTTTCCAGATCAGTAAACAGAGCTTCAAAGCTAGAATAAGAATTAGAATAAAAGTAAGAAGGGGAAGGGAAATGGGGAAGGGGAGGAGTAAATGTTAGCACCAAATCAGAAGATTTTCCTACTTACATATTTTTATTTTGAACTGATTTCCCCCCAGCAGTGGGGAAAATGTAGCTCATTCTTCACTTCAATACTTATAATGGAACCCACAGACTGCTGCAGCAAATTGTTTCCCATTCTACTTAATTCTTGAAAACACGTAATTCTGGTCTTCTAAAACTACAAAAAGACTATATATGCTAATGACTCTAGGGCACATGAGTTAATTTATCATGCACATATACAGGCTATGGTTCTTATTCAGTAAGTTTAAAAAAAGGGCGGTGCCTGGGTAGCTCAGTCAGTTGATGTCTGACTCTTGGTTTTGGCTGAGGTCATAATTCCAGGGTTGTGGGATTGAGCCTGGTACCAGGCTCCACACTGACAGCACGGAGCCTGCTTGGGATTCTCCCTCTCCCTCTCTCTCTGCCCCTTCCTCACTCATGCACTCTCTTACTGGAAATAAACTTAAAAAAACAACAAGAACAACAAAAAAAACATATTCCAATTAGCAGGGAAAAAGTCACTCAAAAATAGAAAATGGAGTAGGTATAGTAAAGATTATATGCAGAGAAGAACATACAGTTTCAGTAATCAAGAAAAGCCATGGAAATTGAGCCAGATGCAATGTAGAGACATCAAGAGTGGGTTTAAAAATTTTTTTTAATGTTTATTTTTATTTTTGAGAGAGGGGGAGAGAGAAAGGCAGGGGCAGAGAGAGAGGGAGACATAGAATCTGAAGCAGGCTCCAGGCTCTGAGCTGTCAGCGCAGAGCCCAACATGGGGCTCGAACTCACAAACCTCAAGATCATGACCTAGGCCAAAGTCAGAAGCTTAACCAACTGAGCCACCCAGGTGCCCCAGAGACATCAAGAGTTTTAAAGAATAGTTTTCCTGGGAAGATTTTACAGTACTTCATGTTTAAAAGATGATCTTTTCCAAAACCCTCCAGGTCTCAAAACCATGGGATATATTCCCAATGAGGAGCAAGTGAAGTGTTTGCCCCTCTCAGTGTTGGAGGAACTCAAAATTCACTCTTTTGGAAGATAAAAATTTCCTCCATATTTAAACTTAAATTGTTTTCCATTCAATACATCTAGTTTTGCACATTCGTTCTAAACTTACACCCTTAGTTATATAGAACATGTATAATCTACCTACATGACAGCCTTCACATGTTTTAAGTCCATTTCTTCTGGGTGCTTCTTCATTCCTAGTGCTTGACTTTTCAGCTAGGATTCACACATTTTCTTTTTTTTCTTTAATTTTAGTTAAGAAATTAATATGTATGCATCATAAAATATTTAGAGATGAATTATAAAAATATAAACATCATCACAATACCAGGCCCCAAAGACACCGACTGTTAATACACTATAATTTGGCATATTTATTTGTTTTTGTTTGCTTTGACTTTATACAATACATCACAAAATTAAACTTGTATAATGCTTTAAATGCACAAATATAGCACTAACTGGAGACAAATACCCATTAACAGTTTAACAAATAAATTATGGTATGATATGATACAATAACATCTAAGTAAAATGTAGATTTTTCCTCAGTTATCTTAAAAATAGGAAATCCTTGGGGCGCCTGGGTGGCTCAGTCGGTTAAGCGGCCGACTTCAGCTCAGGTCACGATCTCGCGGTCCGCGAGTTCGAGCCCAGCGTCGGGCTCTGGGCTGATGGCTCAGAGCCTGGAGCCTGCTTCTGATTCTGTGTCTCCCTCTCTCTCTGCCCCTCCCCCGTTCATGCTCTGTCTCTCTCTGTCTCAAAAATAAATAAAACGTTAAAAAAAAATTAAAAAAAAAAAAAGGAAATCCTAAAAGTCCTACCATAAACAGCTGACCAAAGATTCAGATAAACAAAACAAGATTCAGAACACTATTACGATAGGATTTCATTTCTGTAAAACTAATTATTATTATTGTATCTATGTCAGTATATGTATGCAATGTACAATATATTGTATTCATGTCAGTATATGCATGTAATGATCCTGAGAAATATACACAGAAATTTTCCCAGTGATTATGGGAGACATTCACTTTCTATTTCATACACTTCAGAACTAAATAAGCTTTTTGATTCTGTAGCTGAGCAAACTTTAGGCTCCTTAGTGATAATCAGTAAAGAAAAAAGATAATAGGTAAAAAAAATTATTGTATGAGCCAATCATAATGTGAAGAACATGTATTTTTCTCATTATATAAGTTTTATTATGTATAATATATAAAATAGTATATATTTAACAAATATAATTATATACATTCTATATATTATATTTGAGATAAATACAAAAAATATAAAAAAGAAATAAAAGTGACCATCTTGAGTATAGCTGTTTTTCTTATATGTCTTGTTATTTATTATATACAATATACAATACGTGTTATCTATAATACACATAAATATATATTTAATAAGTATATAGATAAAATTATAAAGATAATATATAGTCTACTTAAGAGGAGAATACAGAAAAATATAAAAACAGAAAAAATGTGACCATCTAGAGTATACTACTGTTGACATTTGATGTATTCTACCCATTACGAAGTTTTTTTCATTACATATGTTTTTAAATTTTTTTTTTCAACGTTTATTTATTTTTGGGACAGAGAGAGACAGAGCATGAATGGGGGAGGGGCAGAGAGAGAGGGAGACACAGAATCGGAAACAGGCTCCAGGCTCTGAGCCATCAGCCCAGAGCCTGACGCGGGGCTCGAACTCACGGACCGCGAGATCGTGACCTGGCTGAAGACGGACGCTTAACCGACTGCGCCACCCAGGCGCCCCAATGTGATAAGTTTAAAGAAGTGCTTTACCTTTATGTCTCCTTCAAGAGAGACTGTGCATTTCACATGGATCACAAATGTCACAATGGGCCAAAGCACTCATCTGGCTCCCAACTTTACTGAATGAGTCAACCACCATGCATCTCTGAGGTTACATATCTAGATTTTTATTTCTAATTCTCCATGGTATTTCATTCTCTTATTCCAGAAGATGACTAGGATTTTGGTTCCATTCTGGTGCCTGATCACACTATACCATGCTGCTGATTCTCAAGAACTTGCAGATTTACTAGAAAAGGGGGCATTAAAGTCCTTCATATTCTTCTTGAATATGACAAGTGGATTTACTTTAGGAAATACTACATCAACTACTTACTTGTATATTACAAGAAGATAAAAATATCATACTCTGAAAGTCTCTGATAAGTACGTTTAGTTTCCATTTCCCTTTATTAGGATGGTTGTCTTAGGTAAAGTTATTATTCTTTGTGATTCCCTTTGATGAAAAACTTGCCTAGCTAGTGTAGTCAAACTGCCTATTTACTCGAAGTTCTTGTCACCTTGACTTCAAGAGCCACCACTAAATTTTTATCTCATTATATTTATATTTCCATTCACTTCACTCACCAGACAAGTTTTACTCTACCAATACCATCCATTATAGCCAATTAAAACCAGGAATCTATAGCCAAAACAGCATCCTTCTTTTCAGTGCAAGTGATAGCAATGACTGGAGTTTTGGTTTGTTAAATAAACTCTATTTGCTATGCCTGAAGAAACCAGAAAAAGCAATAATAACATCCGGTTATCTAAACATAAATCATTTTACATTCTTTGGACTCATACCTGTGTGTATACTCTTTGGGTAGAAGAAAAGATATTTCATTATTAACATTCTTCTCCAAAGTGGCTTCTGGTATATGATACTGAATAAATTTTAAGATTTCTTCAACATTGCAGTGAGCTTCCTTCACCATGACCATGTGGTATCCCACACCTGAGAAAATCCATTTAGAAGAATGAATAAAACAATTTTATATTTCCAATATTCTTGTGAGACCACACTTGGCTTTCCATGGTTTGTGTGAGGTAGAAGATAAGGCATGCTAATCATATGATTACAAGTCTAAGAAATCTAGTAAATACTTCTTTTGTAATTTCATTAATTTTCTTAGGGGCTGAGAGAACAGAGATAGGGAAAAATCTCTGTTACATAGTCTCTTGTTCTACTGACAATAAAATCTGAGAAAACAAGGTTAATATTCATTAAACAGATACACATTTGGTGCCTATTATATGTAAGGGGGTAAATTAATCAGATACAAGTCCTTTCTTTCAGAGATCTGAGAAACCTTTCCAAAGTAGTCTCCACCTCCACTACCTGCACTGCCCTAGGCTCTCAAAGGTGCGGCTGGGGGGTGGGGGGTGGGGGAAGGGTAAGGCAGTAAAAACAAAGAAACAAACACACAAATGAACAAAAATGCCATCAAGGCTCTTCAGAACTTTGTGAAAACATTGCAGTGGTACTCTGATAGCTCAGGACAGGACAAAAAAGCTAAGAAAAATACTTCTGAGGTACATCAGTCCTTTATTACAATGGGCCTTTAAAGGGTAGGAAGAGGGCAGCAGCATAGAGAGAAAACCTTTGAGGTAAAGAAAATAGTTTAGAAATGGAAAGCAAAGAGCATTTGTCAGATCTAAAAGCTGGGAACTGAATTATAGCTTCAAGAGATCCCAATGATCTCATTCATATACAGATCCCATCCTCTGCTAAGAGCAAAATCCTGATCCTATTACTAACACACTTGAAGACAGTGATAAAGAGAATCTAAATAAAGGTGTAATACATCCCAATATTCGCTCAAATACAGGTTATATTAACTCAGTCTTCCATAAACGTGGCCTAATAGACCAGGGTATACCATTTACTGAGGATAATTATCAATTACTTTAGTCTGCACTATTATTTTATTCACAAATTTAATTATAAAAATGAAAAAAATGCAAGGAAACTAGAAAATATAACACTAAATGGGATGGAAAAAATCAAGAGAAGCAGACACAGAAATGTTTTCCAATAAGAAAACATATATATCCAGAATATGGCTCTATTAAATGGGGATCTATATAACTTACCTGACAGAGAATTTAAAATAACATGATAAAGATGCTCCCAAGGTCAGGATACCAATGCATGAACAAAGTGAGAATTTCAACAAAGAAACGGAAAGCTTAAGAAGTACTGAAAAGAGGCTCGGAGGAGGAGCCAAGATGGCGAAACAGCATGGAAGTTTTTTGTGTGTCTCGCATCCATGAAATACAGCCAGACCAACACTAAACAATCCTACACACTTAGAAAACTGATTGCAGGATTAACACAACAATCTGCACAACCTGAACCACAGAAATCAGCTGTACGCAGCATGGAGAGGTGAATTTGGGGAATGAGAAGACGTGGAGGGTAGGGAGCTGCTTTTGCTGGCAGAGAGAGGGTGGAGACTGGGGAGGGGGGCAGAATACAGGAAAATCACCCCTCCCCAAAAGCAGCTGGAGAGAAAGTGGAAAATTGGAAACAGCCGCAGGGACTAAACTAAAAAGGAGAAAGGAGAAAGGAGAAGGTTTAAATTCCATTAGCATTGTAAACAAAGGGAGTGCAAAGCCTGCAACTCCTCAGCTCGATACCTGGTGGTGCTCTGGTGGGAAGGGTGAATCCCCAGGAACAGAGTGGGGTCTAGGAAGTTCTTGAGCCACACAGGGAAAAGTGGTTCCACTGCTGGAAGGACATTTGGTAGAGACTGTTCAAGCCACCTGGTCCCAGCAGATCCCAGAAAACAGTCACATTCACTGGTGCTGGAACAAGGTTGTTAAGTGTGAAGCCTGGTGCCAGATGTGTGTTGTGATTTTCCATAATCCCTGAAATGCTGCTGCTACACTATCTCGCAAACTTTTTCTGGGGCAGGCTGGCACTTGGCTGCAGTCTCAGGACACCGGCAGCAGCAGGGTCCAGCAAGTGTTCCTAGGTGCAGCCGACATTCGGCCATTGCTCATTCGGCCACTGCTTGGTGAGACCCTCCTGCAGAGGGGCGGAACAGGTCAAAGCCGCAGTCCTTCAGAAGTAAGGGGCTGGGGAAAACAGCTGCATCTGAGACAAAACTCAGGAGAGAGGTACTGCCTGGGGCCTGGTCACAGAGAGTGAAAAAGCAGGGAGTGGATGAAAGCTGAAGATAGAGGACGGGTGCATGATTGCTGATCTGGGAGAACAGACGGGGTAGCCGGGTGGCGCCATTTTCACCACTCCCAGGCATGTGCATACGTACCTATGAGCACTGCAACAATCCACCCCAGTAGGCTTGCAGTGCCTTCTAGGAGAGTGCAGCTGTTACACTGAGCCTGGGCCAACTTTGCTCTTCAAGAACACAAGTCTATCCACCAGCTTAGTTTATGGACTATAAAGTGCTACAGAGACTGATTTCTAGGGGAAAACAAAGTAATTTCAGCCCTACTTCAATATGTTAGCAGGTTCATCTATTCAATTTTCTTTCTTTTTTTTCTTTTTCTCTTTTGCACTTCTTTTTCTTGAATACAGAAAGAGAAAAAAATTCATTTTTATTTTTAATTTTTATTAACAATATTTTCCTTTAATTTTTATTACTATATTTTTTACTTTTCTGTAAATTTTTTCAAATTCTATTTTACCCCCATCATCTCATTTTAGTCTACTTCAGTGTATTTTTTTCAAATTCTCAAATGATTTCCTTTTTTTTCTGCTCCGACCTTTTTTTCTCTAATCTGTCAAACCACTTTCAACACCCAGACCAAAACACACCAAGGATCTAGCATCATCTATTTTATTTTTTTGTGTGTGTGTTTTTAATTTTTAATTTTAATATTTTTTTAATTTTAATTTTTTATTTTCAATTTTTCTACCTCATTAATTCCTTTTCTCCCTTCAAAATGACAAAACAAAGGAATTCACCCCAAAAGAAAGGGCACAAAGAAACGACAGCCAGGGATTTAACCAACACAGACACAAGCAAGATGTCTGAACCAGGATTTAGAATCACGATAATAAGAATACTAGGTGGGGTCAAAAATAGATTAGAATCCCTTTCTGCAGAGATAAAAGAAGTAAAAAATATCCAGAATGAAATTAAAAATGCTATAACTGAGCGGCAACCATGGATGGATGCAGCAGCGGCAAGGATGGATGAGGCAGAACAGAGAATCAGTGATATAGAGGACAAACTTATAGAGAATAATGAAACAGAAAAAAAAAAGAGGGAGATTAAGGCAAAAGAGCATGATTTAAGAATTACAGAAATCAGTGACTCCTTAAAAAGGAACAAAATCAGAATCATAGGGGTCCCAGAAGAGGAGAGAGAAATAGGGGTAGAAGGGTTATGTGAGCAAATCATAGCAGAAAACTTCCCTAACCTGGGGAAAGACACAGACATCAAAATCCAGGAAGCACAGAGAACCCCCATTAGATTCAACAAAAATCAACCATCAACAAGGCATATCGTAGTCAAATTCACAAAATAATCAGGCAAGGAGAGAATCGTGAAAGCAGCAAGGGAAAAAAAAGTCCCTAACCTACAAGGGAAGACAGATCAGGTTTGTGGCAGACCTATCCACAGAAACTTGGCAGGCCAGAAAGGAGTGGCAGGATATATTCAATGTGCTGAAACAGAAAAATATGCAGCCAAGAATTCTTTATCCAACAAGGCTGTCATTCAAAATAGAAAGAGAGAGAGAAAAAGTTTCTCAGACAAACAAAAACTAAAGGAGTTTGTGACCACTAAACCAGTCCTGCAAGAAATTTTAAGGGGGACTCTCTGAGGGGAGAAAAGATGAAAATATACATATAAAAATAAATAAATACCAAAAGCAACAAAGATTAGAAAGGACCAGAAAACACCACCAGAAATTCCAACTCTACAAGCATCATAATGGCAATAAATTCATATCTTTAATTACTCACTCTAAATGTCAGTGGACTCAAGGCTCCAATCAAAAGACACAGGATAACAGAATGGATAAGAAAACAAGATCCATCTATATGCTGTTTACAAGAGACCCACTTTAGACCTAAAGACACCTTCGGATTGAAAATAAGGGATGGAGAACCATCTATCATGCTAATGGTCAACAAAAGAAAGCCGGAGTAGCTATACTTGTATCAAACAATCTAGACTTTAATTTTTTTTCAACATTTATTTATTTTTTGGGACAGAGAGAGACAGAGCATGAACGGGGGAGGGGCAGAGAGAGAGGGAGACACAGAATCAGAAACAGGCTCCAGGCTCTGAGCCATCAGCCCAGAGCCTGATGCGGGGCTCGAACTCACGGACCGCGAGATCGTGACCTGGCTGAAGTCAGACGCTTAACCGACTGCGCGACCCAGGCGCCCCAAACAATCTAGACTTTAAAATAAAGACTGTATCAAGACAAGCAGAAGGGCATTATATCATAATCATGGGGTCTATCCACCAAGAAGACCTAACAGTTGCAAACATTTATGCACAAAATGTGACAGCACCCAAATATATAAATCAATTAATCACAAACATAAACAAACTCATCAATAGTAATACCATAATAGTAGGAGACTTCAACACCCCACTCTGAGCAATGGACAGATCATCTAATAAAAAAAATCAACAAGGAAACAATGGCTTTGAATGAAACACTGGACCAGATGAACTTAACAGATATATTCAGAACATTTCATCTTGAAGCAGCAGAATATACATTCTTCTCCAGTGCACATGGAATGTTCTCCAGAATAGACCATATACTGGGACAAAAATCAGCCCTAAGTAAGTACAAAAAGATCGAGATCATACCATGCATATTTTCAGACCACAATGCTACGAAACTCAAAATCAACCACAAGAAAAAGTTTGGAAAGGTAACAAATACTTGGAGACTGAAGAACACCTACTAAAGAATGAATGGGCTAACCAAGCTGTTAAAGAGCAAATTAAAAAGTATATAGAAGTCAATGAAAATGATAACACCACAACCC